CTCCATTCTGAGGCGTGGATGTGAGGACCCTCAAGAGACTGACTGGGCCCAGGGTCCATGCAAGGCCCACCTGGGTACCAGGCCCGGGGTTGGGGGCTGGGCAGGGAGGGGCCCCAGCCAGTCAGGTGGGGTGGGTGGGGTGGTAGCCAGGCCAAAGCACCCCCAACAGGGAGAGACCTGAGGGATCCCTGTACCCTTCACAGGCCCCTCACCTATGCTGCAGCCTTGTGAGGGGTCACTGTCCCCAGGGGGAATATCAAGGCTGGGTGAGAGGCAGGTGTGGGTCCCTCCCAGCTGCACCACAGGAACCTACTCCCATTTCACAGACGAGTTCGCTGAGGTTCAGAGAGGCACTGAGTCCGGGGTCCCTCAGAGTGGGGGACAGTGCCAGTGACCACACTGGCAACCCTGGTGATGGTGGCCGGTGCCTGTGCCCCCTGCAGATGCGTGGAGTGTGATCGCCTCACCCTTCCTGCCCAAGTACCTGTCCTCGCTGCGCTGCGCCGCACTGCACGGGGAGCTCTACCTCATCGGGGACAACACCAAGAAGGTCTACGTGTACCACCCCGGGGCCAACCTGTGGCAGAAGGTGGGCCACCCCCTCCCCCCACGTGTGAGTCCCTGCCTGGGACTCCTGACATCAGAGAGCCAGCCTGGGAAGTGAGGGATGGGGTGCCACAGAGGGCCCACTGCGAAGGGGACAGCACAGGCTGGAGTGCCCACAGAGGGCCCACAACGAAGGGGGTGGCGCAGGTTGAGATTCCCCCCAGGCTACAAGGCGACAACAGTGCCCTGGCCTGAGCCCCCTTGAGGATAGGGGAGACAGTGACAGTGGGAGAACGTGGTTTGGGGTTGCCGGCCACTGGTGCTTTGTCCCTGCACACCCAGCTTCCTACAGAGGAGTGGCCTGTCCTCCTTCTCAGGGAGAAAAACCAGGTTCAGACGGAGGGTGCTATAGGGACCAGGAGGGAGGGCGTCCTCTGCCTCAGGGTGGCCAAGTCAGGGAGGGGGTTCCTGAGCTGAGGGGAGGTGAGAGCCGCCAGCCCCGGGGCCTTCCTGTTGTCCTCAGCACCATCCCACCACAGCCCGCTCTTTGACCATCAGTCCCTGAGGAAGGGGCGGGAGGTGGACCTCTGGGCGGCCTCCCTGGTGGAGGGGACAGTGCCCAGGAGGTTGGGGGTGGGTCTTGGCACCAAGCCAGATGCCCTGGGCCTGCCCACCTGCCCCAAGACTCCCAGTCCCTGCAGTCTGAGAAGGGGGCACTCTTTCCTGCAGCCACCCTGCAGGCTCCCGGCCTGGTGACAGCTGGACTTCTGCAATCCTGCTGCCCACAGCTGTCCCCTGGCGTCACTGCTCAGCTGACCCAGGGCCCCCATTACAGTGGTGAGACAGGTGCAGGGTGGGCTCTGCCAGGCCAGCGTGTCAGCCTGGGCCCTCTCAGCTGGGCCACAGCCAGGCCTTCCTCCAGCCCAGGCCATTGTCCCAGCCTCAGGTCCCAGCACAGCAGGACTCTGCCTTACCCTCTCCGGGCCTGGGTCCTCATCTCTTCCCTGTCTTCATCTGGAGGCCACAGACCGGCCTCCTGCTTCCCACCCGCCCAGGTTCTTCCTGAAGCCACCCCTCTCTCCAGCCTCTGGAAAGTCACTGCCCTCACCCCACAATCCCTCCCGGGGCCACTCCCAAGGCCACAGACTGAGCAGGGGTGCAGGGGTGAGGCGAGGGGGCCCACGGTGGGCTAGGCTCTTCCTGGGTGTCTCCTGTGAGACAGCGAAGCCTCAGTGAGGCCTGGAGTCAGCCCAGACCTCCCTGGGAGGCGGCTTTGGGCTCAGGCCTCAGGGCCCCCTCTGACTGCAGGGGGTGGAATTGTCATCCTGAGGGCTGAGGGTCAGAGAGGGAAAGGGGCCTCCCCACCAAAAGAAGAGTCTGAGGAGGCTGGAGGGGCTGGGGTGGGCTGCCCAGGGACCCTGTGCTCGTGCCGTGGAGGGGATCTGGGCCAGGTGGCTGGCCGTCCTCTCTGCCACTCCCCCAACCCTGCTGAGGGCACCCTCAGCACTGCTCTCCGGCTCCCACCATGGGACATTAACCCGCTGACCGTGTACAGGTGCAGTCCCAGCACAGCCTGCATGAGAACGGCGCGCTGGTGCCACTGGGCGATGCGCTGTACGTGACAGGTGGCCGCTGGCAGGGCATGGAAGGTGACTACCACGTGGAGATGGAGGCCTACGATACAGTTCGGGACACCTGGACCCGCCACGGCGCCCTGCCCCGGCTCTGGCTCTACCACGGGGCCTCCACTGTCTTCCTGGATGTCTCCAAGTGGACCCAGCCCTTCAGCTCCACCCAGGAGCACTAAGCCAGGGCTGGGCTCCCCGGAAAGGGCCCCCCAGCAGCCCCTCATCACCCTGTGGAACGGCCCCCTTTCATTTTCGCTTAGTTCTTCACTTGGAGCTACCATTCCTTCCGGGCTTGGGCCGGGCTGGGGCCACCAGGGGTGATCAGACAGCATGGCTCGGAGGACACAGCCTTGGTCTCTGCGGCCACCACACTAAAGTCTGAGCTGAGCAGTGATAAGGGCCTGAGTGCCGGACACCAGCATAACAGGGTCAGGAAGCTCTGCTGCCCCTGGGGTTACCGAGACCTCAGAGAGAGGAGCCGGGGGCTGGGCCAGCATTCCCAGAGCTTGTGAGCTCCACTCCTGCCCTGCAGGGCCTTTTGGAGCAGTTGCCTGAATGTGGGGTGAACACGGAGTGTCCCAGAAAGCGGAGGCTGCTGGGGAAGGCAGGCCCCAGAGATGGGGTCAGCACCAGGGCCTCATGGGCCTGCTTCTGCCTCGCTCACAGCAGTGTAACCGTGGCAGGCCACCTCGCCTCTCTGGGCTTCAAGCTCCGCGTCCGCCACCCACGGGGCTGACTGTGTGGGCTTTGGGTCCCCACTCAGCCTTTGCATGTCGATGCTGTTTCTGCTTCTGTGGACAAAGGAGGCCCCAGCCATCTCTTGCACCCAGCGGGCAGCGCCCACAGAGAAACCAGGAAGGAGGGAGGCGGGGTGTGGGGCGGGCCGGAGGGTCCCAGGGAGGTGAGCAGGAGAGGCTGCTCTCAGAAGTGACTGCTGCATCTCTTTGTGTCAGAACAAAGGCTCTGCATCAGAATGGCATTTCCCACCAGGGGATGATTCTTGGGTGCACTGGTGGCAGCCTCCTGAGGGTGAGGGGTAGCATCTGATGGGCCCCTGGCAGCACGCAGCCTGACTGGCTGGCTCAGGCTCTAAGTGGCTTCTCCCTCATCCTGAATGAGGCACCCACTTTTGGAGCTAAGGAGACAATGAAGGACGCTCCCTGGGTGCCCAGTGGCATGTCCTTACTATCACAGGCTCCGCCCCGGGACATGGGGCTAGAAGTCAGGAGTCAGGTCTGGCCAGGCACAGGCCCTGGTGTTGCCCCGCAGAGGCCTTGGGTAGCTCCCGTCTCCCACCGGATCCAGGCTTCCTCTCCAGGAGCAGCCCATGGATTCCTCCTTGAAGAGCCCCTGCCCCTGGGGACGAGAGGGGCCTCTGACATCCTTGGGTTCTGAGGACAGGAACCCCTGGGTCTCTTGAGCTTCCATAGGTAGGGATCTGCTTTGCTCCCAGACCTGCCTGTCATAGCATTTTTTTTTTTTTTCCTCTTGTCGCCCAGACTGGAGTGCAATCTCACTGCAACCTCCACCTCCTGGGTTCAAGCGATTCTCCTGCCTCAGCCTCTCTAGTAGCTGGGATTACAGGCACCCATCACCACGCCTGGCTAATTTTTGTATTTTTAGTAGAAACAGGGTTTCACCATGTTGACTGGGCTGGTCTTGAACTCCTGACCTCAGGTGATCTGCCCGCCTCAGCCTCCAAAAGTGCTGGGATTACAAGGTGTGGGAGAAGTGAGTTGACCCTGGAGGGCCAGAGAGAGTGGGGCCACTGGGTGCTTCCAAAGGAACAAGAGTCCAGAGCTGAGGAGACCTTCGGTGGCAGGTGGATTGGATGAAGCACGGGTGAGGGTTTCTGGGGCCCTGGGCTCTGTTTCCACGTGGAAATCGGAAACGTTTTCTAGACAGTGATGGAAGGAGGTCAGCCAAAGGGCTGTTTAAAAACAAAGCCTCCATGTAAACCATTTCTGCAGGAATATTTTAAAATAAATAAAAATACAACTGAAGACATGAAATGTCAAAATAGGCTAACTTTGATCACAAAGTAGCCACAAGGGCGGCATGCCAGAGCAAGACCTGCTCTCCACCCCTGCACACCCTGCAGGAATATGGACACTCCACGGGTGGAGGGCGTGGGCCTCTCCAGGTCCTGGCTCCCAGCTTTGAGGTGCCAAAGTGCACCTCGCCCGATCAGCTGGGCTCCTGATTCAGGGGGCCATCGCACCCTTCATGGCACCAGGAGGAAAGGGGCGCCTGCTGGGTATGGAGGTGAGAGGCTAAGGAGAGTTTCACGACGGCCTCTCCCCATGCTGTGGGGAGGGTGAAGGGAGCCCAGAGGCTGGAGAGGCGCCCCAGGACAGCAGCAGCGGGGAGCGCAACCCCCTCTGTCTTGGGGGAAGGGAAAGGGCAGACACAGACTCCAGGCAGCTGCTGAGAGAGGGCCTTGGCGGGGGAATGCAGCCAGCACCCCTGTTGCCCAGCTGGGAGGAGGTGGCAGAGTCCATCTGCCCTCTCTGTCCAGCCTGCCCCCTGTCTCCCACTAGCGCCTCCTACAGGTCAAACCCAACCAGAACCCAGAAGGAAGAGAGGCCATTGACAGGCTGTAGTGGCCAACTGGGGACAGAGAACAGGTGGAGAAGGTGGCCAGGGCACCAGGATGGTGGCCAGAATGTCTGGCACACGTCACCCACTTGAGAGCTTTGCAGGAAGGGACATTAATGCACTCACTCACCAAGCAACAGTCATAGGGCAGCCAAGGCACCCCCTTCCACCATCCAAATCCCAGGACAGCAAGGACTCATTAGAAGGCTTGAGGCTAATAGGGGCTTCTAGAAAGGGGAGCGCGTAGCCTTGGAACATGTGCAAAAGCCCACAGGGGTGTGTGAGTGAAACCCACCTCCCCAGCTCTGTGTGCTCATGTCCTCCAGGTAGGTGTGTGTTGTCTTGGCCACGGAAGATGCTGGGTAAACTAAGGCCCCTCAGCCTTCAGTGGGCACACAGGGCCCTCAGCCAGGCCCAGCACCGCCAACTCTATCTCAGCTCCCTCGGGTCCCCAGGTAAGCCAGGGCCTAGGCATGCTTCCAGCCACTTCCATTGAACTTGAGTTTCCCAACACCTGCCAGACAGGCCCCTTTTATTATCCAGCATCTTCTCTATTCAGGCAGGGACAGTGGTTCCTGGAATCAGGCTATTGACACCCTCATGTGACTGTAATTAAATGGACTGGTCACCTGACAGTTTTCTGTAGTCAGGTAGACCATGACATAGCTTGGAGATCTGTCCCCTCCAAATCTCATGTAGAGTCTGATCGCTGGCGTTGGAGCTGGGCCTGGTGGGAGGACCCCTCAGGCGTGGCGCGGTGCAGTAATGGTGGTGTGTTCACGCAGAGCTGATCGTTAAAGAACCTGACACCTCCCCTGCTCTCCCTTGCTTCCTCTCTGTGTGACACACCTGCTCCCCTTCCCCTGCCACCATGAGGGGAAGCTTCCTGAGGCCTCGCCAGAAGCAGATGCTGGTGTCATGCTTCCTGTACAGCCTGTGGAACTGTGAGCCAAATAAACCTCTTTTCTTTATAAATTACCCAGCCTCAAGTTTTCCTTTATAGAAAGAAAACAGACAGATACAGGCCACTACTCCAGTTGGTTGGGCCATCAGTTGATCCAGTTGAAAGCACGTGTATGGCTGGAGAATGTGCCAATGGCTTAAGGAGAGAGGGCACAGCCACATACACAGAAAAGATGTCTGTACTGTCCATCCCCAGTGCCCGGTGTGGTGCCAGCTGCTTGGTCTGAAGTGTGGCTGCTTCTCCCAGGCTCTGCAGCACCAGGTACGTGGCAGGGCAGCCAGGTGTGTGGCTGTCACTGAGAGTGAGGAATCTCCATGGGGGAAGTGTCCTGTTTGGAACAGACCCCAGGAGCCATCATGACTCTGTCAGATGCCAAGGTGATTTTGATCACAGTCACATTTAAGAATGTGATTCTTTCCAAAATGGCATTGCATTCAATGGAGAGGTGAGCTAAAGATGATTATTTTAATTAATCTATTAAAACCATGTAGACAATTAGCAGAAAACTCAAGAGACCTTCTGGGCAGAAGTGAGAAAGAACTAAAACTAGCCGGGCGAGGTAGTGGGCGCCTGTAGTCCCAGCTACTCCGGAGGCTGAGGCAGGAGAATGGCGCAAACCCGGGAGGCGGAGCTTGCAGTGAGCTGAGATCCGGCCACTGCACTCCAGCCTGGGCTACAGAGCAAGACTCTGTCTCAAAA